CAGCAGTCCCACGGCGGCCGGCCAACCCCAGCAGCCTATTAGCATAAAAACCCCACCTCCACGATCAGCAGAAGTTAAGTCGGCAGGAGAAGCTCTCCCGCCGACTTAGCCCTATGCACATGAGTGCTTATGTCAGTGTAACTTATGTTGCTCAAGGGAGAGGCTTAATCACCACCTTAAACAATGAAAGTTATGCTGACATAGGCTGTAGTGTAGACATAGCCTCATATGCTGAGCTTTCCATCTATCCTGATGCCAATTTCACTATTTTCCAAGTTACCAATGACAGATAAGACCTGAATTTCTCAGGTACAATAACTCCTCACGTAACGTTGTAGTTATCTTCTGAAAAAAATGCAACTTTAAGCAAAACGATGTTAAGTGAATCCAATTTCCCCATACGAATTAATGTAAATGGGGGTGGGGGTTAGGTTCCAGGGAAATTTTTTTCACCAGACAAAAACCTATTTTTTTATACACACACACACACTACATTTTAAACAAACAATTTAATACTGTACACAGCAATGATGACTGTGAAGCTTGGTTAAAGTGGTGAAATCAGAGGGTGGGATATTTCCCAGGGAATGCCTTACTGCTAAATGATGAACTATCATTCGACTGAGCCCTCAAGGGTTAACACACTGTTGTTAATGTAGCCTCACACTCTACAAGGCAGCACGAATGGAAGGAGGGGAAACAGCATGGCAGATAGAGACACACACCTTGTGTGGGGGACAGAGATGTGCATTGCCCCTTTAAGTATGCTGACCCCATTCTAAGTATATTGCCTTTAAAAAAATCAGGAAGTTGAAACAGCAGCTGTGGCCAGCAAGCTCTCTCTGTCCTGAGCCCTGTCCTGTCCCCACCCTGCTCTATATGGAGAAGGGGTAAGCGGGGGGCAGGAGTAGGGGGGAGAGGGACACCCTGACATTAGCCTCCTTCTTCCCCCACACCCTTTTGTTGTATTCATCTCGCTTTGTTAAACAATTGTGATTAAAATAGAGATAGAGGATGTATGTGGATGGATGCTTGGTGTGGATAACAACTGAATGATCAGGGAGGTGCCAGCCAAAGAATCCAGTGTCCATCGGCTGAAGAAGGCGTCAAGTGGAAATAACCAGAGGACCCCCGGAGGGCAGACTGGAATCCACTCAACAGCCTCAGAATGGGAGAACCAAAGAACAAGATAACATCTGGCAGCACGGAGCCATCAGGAATGTGCCATCTGCTGATTGATTCAGCAGCAGCATGATGAAGCAATTCCCATAAACTAGCATAGGAAGAAATTCCTATAGAAATGGACTCTAGAAAGTGAGAACTTTGGGGTCTGATTCTGAAAACCAACTTCCAGGAGCATCAGATGAGCAACTGACAAGGCCTTGCTCCCTCCTCATGTCCAGGCCACCTGGCCAGTGGCTTGGCATGAGCAACTCTAAGGCTGGTAACTATGATAAAAATCTTGCAGTTTGTATTCACAACAAATGTGGCATTTTGCCTTTTCCCCTTTCATAAGATCCTGCTGGTTTTTATTTTATAGGTATAACAGGAGCAGCACATGGCTGTGGGGGGAGGCACAGCTGAACTGCTAGCAATTGGTAGCCTGCTGGATGGCTGCTGCACAGGGAACTTAGGGGAGCCAGGAGCTGCTAGCGGCAAGTTATATCTCCACATGGTGGCTTAGCACCAGCAATATTCAGAGCCCAGGGGCCCAGCTCCACCAATATTTGGGGCCAAGTTTGGGGGGGGTGTCATAAATATAAAGGGAAGGGTAAACCCCTTTGAAATCCCTCCTGGCCAGGGGAAAGCTCCTCTCACCTGTAAAGGGTTAAGAAGCTAAAGGTAACCTCGCTGGCACCTGACCAAAATGACCAATGAGGAGACAAGATACTTTCAAAAGCTGGGAGGAGGGAGAGAAACAAAGGGTCTGTGTCTGTCTGTAGTCGTCTTGGCCGGGGATAGACCAGGAATGGAGTCTTAGAACTTTTAGTAAGTAATCTAGCTAGGTATGTGTTAGATTATGATTTCTTTAAATGGCTGAGAAAAGAATTGTGCTGAATAGAATAACTATTTCTTTTGTGTATCTTTTTTGTAACTTAAGGTTTTGCCTAGAGGGGTTCTCTATGTTTTTGAATCTAATTACCCTGTAAGATATCTACCATCCTGATTTTACAGGGGGGATTTCTTTATTTCTATTTACTTCTATTTTTATTAAAAGTCTTCTTGTAAGAAAACTGAATGCTTTTTCATTGTTCTCAGATCCAAGGGTTTGGGTCTGTGGTCACCTATGCAAATTGGTGAGGCTTTTTATCCAACATTTCCCAGGAAAGGGGGGGTGCAAGTGTTGGGAGGATTGTTCATTGTTCTTAAAATCCAAGGGTCTGGGTCTGTAGTCACCTAGGCAAATTGGTGAGGCTTTTTACCAAACCTTGTCCAGGAAGTGGGGTGCAAGGTTTTGGGAAGTATTTTGGGGGGAAAGACGCGTCCAAACAGCTCTTCCCCAGTAACCAATATTAGTTTGGTGGTGGTAGCGGCCAATCCAAGGACAAAGGGTGGAATATTTTGTACCTTGGGGAAGTTTTGACCTAAGCTGGTAAAGATAAGCTTAGGAGGTTTTTCATGCAGGTCCCCACATCTGTACCCTAGAGGTCAGAGTGGGGGAGGAACCTTGACAAGGGGGCAGGTTCCCCCGGCCCTCTCTTGCTGCCCCCACTCCCCTCCCCGGAGCAGAGCATCCCTGCCTCTGCCTTTTCCCTGAAGCTCTATGTTGCCTCCCCGCAGCAACTGCTGCTGCAGGGTCCTATTGCCCCCTATCTCCACTGCCTGAGGCATACTGACTGAGCTTGCCCTTCCACCTCAGACCCTTCCCTTTTCCGGCAGGACCCTCCACCAGCAGAGGGGACCCCTCCGCCCACAGTCACCGCTCCTGCCCCATGCTGGGCAAGGAGGCAGCCCCATCCCTCACCCCCCAGTGAGGCTACAGTCAGGGGCAACAGCAGGGGAGGAGGCGCACGCAGCACCCCCCGGCACCCACCAAGGGGGAGGCAAGGGAGATTCCTGGACCTGAGAGGGGCCCTAGAAGCACATGCAGTGACAGTGGTGGGGGTGAGTGTGCTGCTGGGGGGGCAGGAAAGAGAGGCTCCTGCCCCAGAGCTCGCTACTACCGGCAGGGAAAGGGCTGGGGGGAGTCGTCCTCTCTGGCCCCTGTCCCAGAGCAGCCTGCCTGTACCCCAAATTCATCCCCAGCCCTGCCGCACCCTAGAGCCCACACCCCCAGCCAGAGCTTTTACCCCACCACCGCACCCTCAACCCTCTACCCCAGCCCTGAGCCCCTCTAACACCCCAAACACCTTATCCCCAGTCCCAGCCAGAGCCCTCATCCCCCTGCACTCCAACCCTCTGCCCCAGCCCTGAGCCTCTCTAACACCCCAAACCCACCAGCCCCAGACAGAGCCCTCACCCCCACACTCCTACTCTCACCCTGAGCCCCTCCCACACCCCAAACCCCTCATTCCCAACCCCAGAGCCCTCACCCCCTACACCGCTACTCTTGCCCTGAGCCCTTCCCATCCCCAAACTCCCTCCCAGGGCCTGCACCCTGCACCCCAATCTCCTGCCCCAGCCTAGGGCCTGCACCCCAGACCTCCTCCCGCATCCAAACTCCCTCCCAGAGCCTTGGGCAGGTGGGGGATGGAGTTTGGGGGGGCGGGTTCAGAGCATCACCAAAATTTCTACAAACCTGCCACCCCCTGAGCAGGGCTTCTGGTCCACCCTGGTTCCAAGCCCCCACCAGCTAGCTGCAATGGGCTGCTCTTCCTGCAAGCAGTGGACAAATCAGGTGGCTCCCAAACAACATCAGAAGGGAGCATTGCACAACTTTAAACGAGCATGTTCCCTAATTGATCAGCAACATAGCAACGAAACAACGTTAACTGGGACGACTTTAAGTGAGGAGCTACTGTACAAAATCAAACAGAAAAAACACTAACAAAAACATTTCAGATATACTGTATGCATATGCATTAAATTACAAAGAAGCTAAAATGGGGCCAGAATCTTTGTTTTTTTCCTTTGCAGGTCACCTTTAAGTCTGTGTCTCAGGAATCTTATTTACTTTTTACAAGCAGCCCAATATTCTAATATGCACTATCCATGGTTCCACACAGTAGACAAAACATTTTGTTAGTGAAGTTCAGTTTCAAGTTTGAGACCTTCCAGCTGCAACAGAAAGTTTCATCAACAATATCTCAATCCTTTTAAAACCTAAATTATACAGGCACACATGTATATGAATATTTCAAGCTGGCAAGCCAATAAATTAATAAAAAACAAGATGGACATAATGTTAGCAGTCAACTTATACTGCTAACCTGAGAACATAACTAACCATGAATGAAACACTCCAGAAGTAAGTTATAAAAGGTAATCAATTAAGTTTATATTATTCATTTTCCCCAGTCTGAAGTTTCTTCCTCTAGCATGCAATAAAACACCACACAGGCCCAATATACACACCATACTGCAATGGTTTAATTAAACATGTGATTTAAAAATCAAACAGGTACAAAACCCTCTGTGAACGCTCATAACTCAATTTAAGCCTGTCTTACGACGACTGTGTTAAATCAATTCCTTACCATCTTAGCTAAATCAGTATAAGCCTGGGTTAAACTGATTTAAGTATCTGTGTAGAAGTCTGCACCAATCTAACTAAATTTAAAAACAAATGTTTAAATTGATTTAGTTAAACCAGTCCACCTTGTATGAACAGAAAACCAAAAATCTATGCTAAGAGAGGGGTAAACAGGCCCTTGGAAACAATAATTGCTCCAAGACACTACTGCTCTTTTCTTAAGTAAGGTCTAGGTGAAGTGAGAGACAAGTTATGGAACAAAGCATTTTAAAATTAGACAAACCCTATTTTCAGGTTCATAAAATGAAAAAAATTAGATCGCTCTAAAGCAACATACTAAAACACCATGACCAGACTAAAAACATACCTTGATTTATGCAACGTGTCTTAAGTTCTCTTGAATAAAGTATCTGAAAAGTAGAAAAGGCTCTTAGAGACAAGATTCACCTAAACATACTCACAAGTCTGCCATAGATAGAATATCAGTTATTGAATTTGATTTATGTGTTCTTAAATACATAACTTAGTAACCACTTCAATTTTGGCTGTGTACTTGCACTCTGCATTTGGCACCTGAGGAACACGTTTACAGACTCCTGCAGTAAGGCAGCTATTCCAGATAAGGATAAATATTCAGTGTAAAAAGAGAAGTCTAAGGTGGCAGAAGTGTACTGATAAAAGTTTTGTTTACTAATGAGTTTTAGGGTGACCAGATGTCCCAATTTTATAGGGACAGTCCCGATTTTGGGGTCTTTTTCTTATATAGTCTCCTATTACCCCCCATCCTGTCCCGATTTTTCACACTTGCTGTCTGGTCACCCTAATGAGTTTGCACAATATGACCACTATGAGCTACATATTGACTCTGAAGTGCGTTATTTTCTTTAAGAGTGTTTAGTGTTAGTGTTAGTGTTTTGGAAAGGTACTAATCTCAGAGCTCTATAAATGGAAGATCCTGATTTATCCACCAGAATACAGTACATGCAGTAATAATGCAAGTTCCTGAACACTGCGCTACCAATGCAGCAAATGATTGAGAGAGACCACATCTCGGGATTAAGTCAGTACTTTTCTCTTATTGATCATTCAGTCCTTGCTGCAGAGTGCTAACAAAGTGGTGATTTTTGACATCCACATATGCCCTAGAAGGAACTGAGCTGAGACCACATAAGTATCACTGATTAGTAAATGTGAGCTTCTGTCTGTGAACTTCATGCATCCAATGAAGTGAGCTGTAGCTCACAAAAGCTTATGCTCTAATAAATTTGTTAGTCTCTAAGGTGCCACAAGTACTCCTTTTCTTTTTACGGATACAGACTAACACAGCTGCTACTCTGAAATCTGTCTGTTCAGTCACTTCTGTTCCAACACATCACAGACGATAGTATTTGCATCAGGCCTTCTCACAGATTCATCTTCATATTAAAAAAATATATATTTTAAAAGGAAAGAATAGACAAACCTTGGCATTCAAAAGATTCTGGTTTGAATGCATCATGGTGGACTGAACTAACAGATCTGGTCATCTTTCATAACACTGAAACACCATGGGAAGAAAAAACCAGACGCTGAGCTTTAGCCAACATATTCTTAGAACATGGGTCCAGCAGTGTTGCCTAATGGCTAGAACAACAGACTGGAACTCAGTCTTGGGTTTATTCCCAGCGGCCTCGGGCGTACTGGGTGACCAGGCAAGTAATTTCACCTCTGTGCTCCAGGATATGCACACTGCAATCACAGAGCGCCTCTGCAGCTAGCTGGCTCAGGTATAGGCAGCAAAAAAGCCAAGACAGCACAAGCTGCAGAGCCTGCTGGAGACACTGGGTGATTCCTCGCACAGGTAGCCAGCGGTGCCACGGTACCAGGACCCCAGCCAGGCAGCTCCGCGCTCGCTCGCTTACGGAGTCCCCACAAGCCACACGAGCCCCAGGATTGCCGGGCAGGTGCCTCCTCGGTTTCCTCCATCTGTAAAATGGGGACCATGATCCTGCCCCCTCCCACACACACACGTGGAGAGCTGCGCACCAGCAGCGCCAGGCGGGAGCCGGCTACGACGTTACCGTTACTGGCAAGGGGCTGCCCACGCTGGGGGACAGAGCACAGCCGCGCGCTCCGCGCAGGGCCCCGGGCACTGCCACCCCAGGGGCTCCGCACAAGCCGCCCCCACCTCCCGTTAACCCGGGGGGCCGCCGCTCGCAGGCGGGGGAAGGGGGGGGGGATGTGCCACCACAAGGGGCCGGGGCGGGGGAGTGTTACCGCCCCGCGCTGCTCTTGAGGGGCCAGCCCGCGCCCCCCGGCAGCCCCAGAAACGCGCCTGAGGGGGCTGTGCCCCCGCGAGACCCGCTAGGGGATGGGGCTACACGCTGAATAAACGACTCGGGGAGGGGGAGGGGGAAGGGTGGCAGTTACGACTCACCTCCCAGCCCGCGCCCTCAGCTGGACTCCACCATGATGCCTGCCGTCCGCCCCGCCCCTTCACACGTCAAAACGTCGCACCCGCGACGGGCTCCCAGGGCGGCCAAACTATTCCGTACCTTGGGCCCTCAGCTCCGCACAAACACACCCCCTACCAGAGCGAGGCTGGCCCCGCCCCCAGGCCTGGGCTGAGCCTTCTGAGTCCCGGCTCCTCCCACCTCCCTTCCCGCAGGGCGGAGGGAGGCGGGGCTGCCGAACGTTCCACTCGGGAGGGTGGGGCCGGGTTTGTGGGGAGATTGTTCGTTGTCCGGCGGCCCCCTAGCGGCCGAGCCGCTCCCTGACGCTGGGGCACGTGTCCCTGCTTTTCTCCGCCGCCAGGGGCTGCAACCTGCCTGCCGGCTGCGCGTGGCACCTTCGCAGGGAGTCCGGCGGCTTGGGCTCCGAGCCCACCCCGGCTCCTGGGAGGCTCGCGCTGAAAGCGCCGGAGTTAGCGCCACTCACCTTGGGCTGCTGAGGCCATAACAGGGCCCGCTTCGGGTTGCACAGGCACCTGGCCAGGGGCCCTGCCAAGGCTGCGTTTTAATGGGTGATATGCCTAACAGCTCCAGCTCACATGCGGCCTCCAGGATAAATCTGTCCAGAGTTTGCCCCAAGGCCCAGCACATGGCTTAGGTCCGGGTTGGGCAACCTTTTTGGCCCAAGGGCCACATTAGGGTGCAAAACTGTATGGAGGGCCAGGTAGGGAAGGCTGTGCACAGGTCTCCAAACAGCCTGGCCCCTGCCCCCTATTCACCGCCTCCCACCTCTGACTGTCCCCCTCAGAACCCCCGACCTATCCAACCCCCCCCCCCTTGTCCCCTGACCACCCCCTCCTGATACCAGATGGAAAGAACAACAACAAAACTGATTTTTTTTTAACTTGCAGAAAAGAGAATTATAATGTATCTGAAACATCTCAAAGTGCATATATTCACAGTTTTATTTTGGAGCAGGCTGTATCTCCTTCAGGACATTAAAAGCACAGTTTTTTGTAATTGCATTATGGATGTCATGCTAATTCATTTTGCAGTGGCCTTAGAATCCCTTTTTCTAAAAATAACTGATTTTCTCCCTATAGCAAGTAGAAAAGTTGTGAAAGCCATGGGTCTACTAATAGGAGCTTTTTATCTAACAGCAGATAAAGCCTAGCAGTCTCTTCCTCCATCTATGAATATTATTACACTTAAACTAATTATACAATATTTTTATCTGAGGCCAGTTACAGGAAAATAGGATATCAGTGAGAGCAAAGTAATTGGAGAGACGTGAAAAATTAGAACAGGACAAAGAGAGACAAGAGTTAACAGAATACACCATGAAGTGTTGAAGCAGTCTTTAAAAACTAATCTGTGTAGGCCAGGTTCCTGAGAGCCTGTATGTATCATGTGCATTATCTGGTATCAGACATTGAAACATTGTTGCTGTTGATTAAAATATCATATATGTTTGTGTTGAGTCTGTATGTAAAGTCTGTGGTAAACACATACACAGTGTTCAGGGATCCTGCCCATGAAACATAAAGTGATGATAGTAACTCATCAGTATGTCAGTTTTAACTGCTCCCATCTCTACCTTGCAGCAGTGAATGGTACTAATCTCTTCTCCAATGTCCTTCCTCATAACTGATGTTGTTTAGTAGTGGTCCCTTTAGATGATGATAGATTTTAAAGCCCAGACTGACCTCCTTCATAACACAGGCCATAGAATTTCACTCAGTGATTCTTGTAGTAGGGGAACTTATTCTTCCATACTATGTGTGATCATTATCAAGCCCAATGTCTGATAAATGAAATAGAGCATGTCTTTCAATTAGTGCCTCTGCATTTGTTGAAGAGGAAGACTGAAAAGCAGAGGCGGCTCTACCAATTTTGCCGCCCCAAGCAGTCGCCGCCAAATTGCTGCCACCGCAACAGAGGCGGAGCTGCCGCTGAATTGCCGCTGTGCCCGGAAGAGCGGCAGAGCTTCCGCCCAAAAGCCGCCGCAGCAGGAAGAGCGGCAGAGCTGCCGCCGAATTGCCACCGTGAGGCACGGATTGCCACCCCATTCTCGGTGCCGCCCCACGCACCTTCTTGGAAAGCTGGTGCCTGGAGCCGGCCCTGCTGAAAAGGCTTGAGAACTAAGGAGGAGCAACCACTGCTTGGAGAAAAGCAACAAAAAGACAAGACACAGGCCATTACGATAGTTTTAGATCTCAAATGCTCCACATCGCAGCTACTAAATACTTCAACACCCAAGGGACAAGCAATGCAAACAAAATCTATCCTCATTCTCTAAGTGTAAGCGGTGGAATAGTCCCGCTCTTGTGGGGAACTTTCCTGGCTTCTGCACTACCCTGGTGAAGTGGGCTAGCGAAAGGATCTGAGTCCCACTTCCTTTACCCAGTGGCCTCCCTGCCCTTGAGGACTCCCCTTCCACTCTCCTGTCTGGCAGAGTCCTCCTAACCCCAACAAGGCTGGGCCCAGGATTCCTGGGGGGCTCGACCCCCAACCCTGCTGTGGTCACCTAGGACAGGGGCTAGGGAGTCCCCACTCCGGGGTACTCTCTCTGCACTGGGCACTTCTCTGACCCACTGACCGTTACATACAAGTTAAAGCAAATGCAAGTTATTTAATCAACAATTAATTTTAAAAAGAATAAGGAAAAATGGGAAAGGTTAAAGGAAACACATCAACCTGCTCTGTGCAGGGAACATCACAAACAGTGTCTCTGGAATGTCAGGGCAGTTCACAGTCTATTCCTTGTAAGTCCCAGGCCTTCTTCTCAGGCCCTGGCTTTGCTGCAGGGATGCTGTGGGTTGGACACTTGCTCTGGTGGTGGCCACACGCTCTCAGGCTCTAAGTGGTAGGACCCTTCTTCCCAGTATCGCCCCCGCCCTGTCAGGGTTATGATCCAAGCCTGGCCTGCAGAGCCCCTTGGCTGAGGCGTTTCCCTGTGCTGGGCCCGCTGCCCAGGGTCCCCCTCGCTCTCCCCAGCTGCTCACCGCACCCAGCTCCGGACTGCTCCTGCCTCAGCTCCACCACTCGGTCTCTGCACTGCTGCTGCTCTGCCTCCAGCTCCCTGGGCTGCTTTTTTGGCCCCTGTGGCTCTCGTTGCTGCAGCTCTGCTCCCAGGACAGGTCTGCTCTGCAGGCTGCTTCTGTGACTCTGCTCCCAGCACTGACCTGCTTCCTGGGCTGCTTTTCTGGCCCCTCTGGCTCTGGTTGCTGCAGCTCTGCTCCCAGGGCAAGTCTGCTCTCTCTGGATCTGGCACAGCTCTGCTCCCCAGCTTAGCTTGGGCCCCTGCTTTCTCCTTAGCTCAGCCCCACTCTGTCTGTCTGACCCAGGCAAATCCAGCTCATACGGAGGACGGGACCTCCCTGGCCTGACTCCCTGATTAGCCTGCTCGCCCTGTCATTCAGGATGAGCTGGAGCATTGGCCTCTCCCCATTGTTCCTGGGGACTGTCAGTCTCAGGGTCCTGATTCCCCATCAACCCTTTCCCCTTTTTAGTACTGGGAGCTAGAAAACCAAAACACTCCCACTGAATGTTAGTAAGGGGGCAACAGTCCCCTTACATAAGTTTCAGGTCTGCAGAGAATGGACATTGAATGGTTTCACAAACCAGCAGCAGGATCTCTGGAGAATGTCAGCAATCCTTCTCAGCAGCTTTTGGTACTGCCTGGCCTGCCCAGGTATAGACCATCAATGGAACCTGCTCTTCCTCAGAGTAAGGATCATTGGACTCAAAGGGTGGAGCCATTGGTACCAGCTCCACATTTTGGTAGCTCAGCTGGAAGCATAGCCTTATGAATAGCATGCCGACAATGTGGGAGTGTCCCTGGCCCTACTGGAGCTTAGGATAGAGAGTGACGTGTGGACAACATATGGAAGTCTCTATCACCAAGTCTGTCGGGATCAGTGACACCGAATCCGTGTAAATTGCCAGATCCTCAAGCAGGGTGTACTGAGGTCAGGCAGGAGGAAAACTGGCTTTGGAATTGGATATGTTGGTATGGATGTAGTTGTTTTGGTGTAGTGTGGAAACCACTGGTGCAAAAGGCAATCTGCTCATACTGTCCTGACACACCTTTGCAGATGGTTTCAGAGCATTAAAAGCTCTTGGTACTGTCAGTGCTGGCCCGTGATCCCCATGAGTTCCAGATGAGCCATCTCAGGGGAACAGAGTCTCACTTGATCCCAAGGGAAGGGGGAAAGCCACCCTCTTCTTAGGAGGGTCGTTTTGCCCTCCTTCCTCTAAGGGTGTTTCTCCTTACCCTCATCATGCCTTTTTTCAGAGATATCCTTGGGTGTGCTGGAGTATTCCGTTGGTACTGGCAGGACAGTGCTTGACAGCTCCAGTTGATGAGGCAAGGAGTGGGAAGGTCTCAGGTCCAACCGAGACCTCATGTTGAGTTCCATCAGGTGCTTGCAAAGCCTGAAGTCCCAGAAAGAGCTTGCCAAAACAAGCAATCAGCTGCAGAAAGCAGTTCAAGAGAATATTGGAAGTGACCACAATTTCACTCTCCCACATCAAACTTAAGTGAGGGACATTCTTTTTTTTCCTATATATGTACAAATGCAGAGCTTCAAGCAACAGCTCTTCAAATTCTACAACCAAGGCAGAAGGCCTGCAATGGATGTTGTCTTCAAATTTGTTGTAAACTTTTTGATATAGCCAGGTGATTCAACACTTGCCAAGTCTTACTACGGGTAATGAAAGATGTATAAAAGAGAGTTGGGGAGATACATGTAAATTAGAGGCCTGTTTGAGATGGAAACAGAGATGATTTGAGAATGAAAATTGATATTTGAGGTACTGACTGACCCGATCACATTTCTCATATGGACTAAAGCAGGGGTTCTCAAACTGGGGGTCAGGACCTCTCAGGGGGTCACGAGGTTATTACATGGGGGGTAGTGAGCTGTCAGCGTCCACCCCAAACCCCTACTTTGCCTCCAGCATTTATAATGGTGTTAAATATATTAAAAAGTGGTTTTAATTTATATGGGCACGGGGGAGGAGGTAGCACTCAGAGGCTTGCTGTGTGAAAGGGGTCACCAGTACAAAAGTTTGAGAGCCACTGGAC